GGATTAGGAAAGCTGTTGACTGCTATAAGCAGGGCTGAATGGACATCCTAGTAAGAGCTTGGAGACAACAGTGCTAAGATCATTGAGGGTTATGGATGCTTAGCTCAAGAAACTTCAGAGGGCAACAAAATTAGTGACAGTGTTAGAAACCATTCTTGTGGTGCTTGGGGAAAAAATGAGGATGCTTTCTGCCTGAGGGCAAATTGAAATAGTTGGACTAATTTTATAGGCAGAGGATATTTCAAAACAGCCTAATATTAACTCTGTTGCATGGTTATTAGTAATCACATTCATGCAGAGCTACCATAAAAAATAATAAGCAGGGCAAAAAGAAACACAAAATGTATAGTTTGAGGAGGGGAAAAAGCACCAAGAAATTTGATGTCTGTACTGAAAGAGATAAGGAGAGGCCTAGTGTGAAATGGAATAAAGGGAGTGTTGTCTTTGGGTGAAGACCCCACCCAGCTAACCCGAAAACTTGCATAAAGGAAATGCCTTTTGTATTTCTATAAAGCTGCAATGGGGGAAAATGTTATGCAAATATAATTCAAGAAGGGGAACAGGCTCCAACCAAAATGGCTGAACTTGGCTTCATTGGCCAGGTCATTCTGGCTTTAGATCCCTGAATGATACTGGAGTAAAGGAGTTGTGGAATCTTCCTCCGCAGTTAAGAAAATCCTCTGAAGCGAGGTGTTTGGCATGGGAATCCCTTCAAGGAAACCAGAGAAGCTATATGTGAATTTATGAAAATGAAGCCTGGATTGCATTGGAGACCTCAAGATCTTGGAAATGTCAAAATCATAGACTTACCAAGAAGCTTGGGACCAAATCAAGAGAGAAAGACACATGTTGTAGCCAGCGGAACTTGAAGGGAAGAGCCATCTAAGCCCATTGGCAGCAGATTAGAGCTATAGGATTTGGAGTTTGCCCTCCTGAATTTCCATTTGCCTATTAGAAATAGATTAGAGATACAGGATTTGAAGATTGCCCCGCTGGATTTCTGTCATGCCTTGCTCCAGTATTTTCTAACTATATTACCATTCCTCCCTTTTGAAATGGTAATGTATATTCTATGCTGTTTTACATTGAAGTTTATAATTTACTTTTTGATTTTACAAGGAGTTATAATTAAAAGTTGCCTTGGGTCTCAGAAGAAACTTAAAATAGTGTTCACACCATGAAAGACTGTGGGGACTGTTAGAGTTAGACGAAAGTCATTTTGCATTATGATATGGCCACAAGCCTATGGCAGACAAGGTGTGGGGTGTGGTGGTTTGAATGAGAATGCCCCCCATATGTGCATATGTTTGAATACTTGCCCCCCATTTGGTACAGTTCTTTGGGAAGGATTAAGAAGTGTGGCCTCATTGGAGGAGTTCTGATGCTGGCAGTGGGCCTGAGGTTTCAGAAGCCCAGGCCATTCCCAAATAGCTCCCTCTGGTTCCTGTTTGCAGAAAGGGATATAAGCGCTCATGGGCCAACACCATGCCTGCCTGCCAGCTGCCATGTCCTCACCATGATGGCCATGGACTCTAACCCTCTGTAAACATGCACCCCAAATTAAACACTTTATTTTCTGTGGCCTTGGTCATGGCATTTTGTCACAACAGAAAAGTAAGACAGAATCACTTTCATAGATTTTAATTGGCTTGATTCTGTAGTTAGAAAACATACTGGGCAAAATGAAATTCAGAATGTTCTACCCTCACATGTGCAGGATATCAAAAGAAAAGAAAATTAAATATAGAAAGTGGAAATGAGGGGGCTGGAGAGATGGCTCAGTGGTTCAGGAAACTATCCGCTTTTCCAGAGGACATGGGTTCAATTCTCAGCACCCTGTAACTCAAGCTCTAAAGGATCTCTCTCTTTCTCTCTCTCTCTCTCTCTCTCTCTCTCTCTCTCTCTCTCTCGCTCTCTCTCTCTCTCACACACACACACAAACACCACATGCATGCGAGCAAAACACCAATTCATATAAAATAAAATTTTAAAAAGAAAATAGAAAAGAAGTATACAGAGTGCTCATTGGGTAAAACTTATATTTGCTTTCTTTGAACCTGGTTTTAAGCAGTTGGCTACCTGGCTCTTAGAGGCTGGCTGATGTGATTAGCTTAAGGTTCACAGTGTACAAAGACATCTTTAGGTCAAACTACATTCTATTGAACAGAATTACACTGAGAAATAACTCCCTGCCCACTAATTCTCTCTTCAACCATGTCTAATTCAATATTAACATTACAGTGACATTTTAAACCAATAATTATGTTAATCATTGAAAACACTATTTTTTTAAGTCATTGATTCCAATTGTCTACAATGTGGTGCTTTCGGTGGTAGTCATGGGCAGGAAAGTGAGTTCAGAGTACCCCAGTAGGGTGTATTTTAACACTGACATTGTTTAGAATTGATGGCTCCTGCTAATAATAGTGAAATAATTGTTGTGTGATATCTAATATTCACTTAAAATGTTCAGTGTCATGTTATCCTCATCTGCTCCTGAAGCCTACTATTCCCCCTTTGCTTATACCATTTAGCTTATTTCATTTTTGTATCAGTCAATACAAAATTGTGTTGCTATAACCAAATACCTAACATGGTCATGAGTGAGGCACTTATTTTATTTCTGGATTGAAAGGCACAATCTAACATGGTGGAGAAGGATTGTACAATTCATGACAATAGACTCATGAGCCTAAGATTTTAACTATTGATGGACAAGGAAGCAAAGAACAGACAGGAAATGACAGCGGGCTATACAATCTCAAGACACTTACCCAATGATCTACTTTCTCCAGTGAGAGCCCAGCTCTGAAAGTTATATGTGGTGATATATTACTTATGACTTATCAAAGCTTGCCTGAGGATTCAGAAAGCAAAGCCAGCCACAAGCTATAGAGGTCAGGCAATGGTGATACATACCTTTAATCACAGAAACCATACTAGCTAGCCAGGCAGTATCCACATGCCTTTGGGTGGATTTCTGTGAGTTAGAGACCTCCCAGGGATACACTAGAGTGAATCAGTCTGAAAGATTTAACAGAGCTCATGCCTTTAATCCCTGCTCTAGAGAGGCATATGAAAGACAGGAATCCAGTGTCTCAGGCAGCATTGTGAGATTTAATCTCTAGCCACCCCGAGGATAGGCAGCAGTCTGAGGTTTGCTGGAGTCCTTGTGGAGACAGGATCACCCCCTTTTGGACTGAGGTAGATGTAAGACCTAGTGGCTCAGCTGCTTTGCTTCTCTGACCTCAGCTTGAAGCTTGAACCCCAATATCTGTCTCTGGGTTTTTATTTTTGGTGTTACAGTTACACACCTCGAAGAGTGCAGCAAGACAGGGAGGGTAGACATTCCACATCCGAACTATGGTGTTTCATTCTTGTCCCCTCTGACTCACATGTATATCTGGTGTCTTTTAATCATCAGCAGGCTGTTCAGGGCACGGGCCTGGCCTTCATCGTCTACACTGAGGCCATTAAAAACATGGAAGTGTCCCAGCTCTGGTCAGTTCTCTACATCTTCATGCTGCTGATGATGGGTTTTGGGAGCATGCTTGGAAACACAGCGGCCATCCTCACCCCTCTGACGGACAGCAAGGTCATCTCCAGCTACCTGCCCAAGGAGGCCATTTCAGATCAGGACACCAGGCAGTGGAGGCGGGGCATGGGAGAGTGGCGAAAGGCAAGACAATCAGTGGAAGGGTCTAATTAGGGACCATGTGCTTCTAAGACAACTCCAGAAAGGCTGCAGGGGTGTAGCTGTGCTCCTGCTAGGGTAATACTCGGTTCCACTTGGGTAAGTTGTTCTAGGTGCTTTATGCACATGTAATGTGCACCACAGAGACCCATTTTTAATTTCAACATCTTGCCACCCAGCCAGGATCATGAGAACCCTCCTGTGCCTCTGATGGCTCTATGTCCAGGATAGATAATGTCACATCTGATCACATGTCCTAGCTATCATGTGGGAAGTGTCCTCTTCCCCGCTCCTCGAAGCCTGATAGCACTTGGTTTTTTTTTTTTTTTTTTTTTTTTTTTTTTTTTTTTCTGAAATTGGGTCTCTGTGGTCCACAGTACAAATGCATGTAGCTCCCAATCCAGCACTTAATCCTCTCCTGAGGGAGCCTCCCAGTGGCTGATATTGTATGGTATGGCAGTGGGAAGGGCTACTATGAATTCAGAGGCACCATGGAAAGCCTTAGGAAGTCAGAAGAAAACCTGGAAAGAGTCAAATATTGACTCTGCCATGTTGTGCAGTTATCTGACAACACTAAGCCCTGGTACCCCCGTATATAAGGGATCTCTGACTACTACCTTGGAGGCTTAATCTGCTCTGGTACATGACCAGAGCCTGGCATGTGAGAGCATCTATGTAAATTGTAGTTTCTTCCCAAACCAATCCTTATCTAGGGCCCCACACCACATTTAAGTCCACTTCTCACAGTCTCAGGGGCTATCTTTAGCATTCCCAGACTTTCAGCCATTATGATAGAATATATCCACGATGAGAAGGCAGAGGGTGGTCTTGAGTTTAAGCCTAGCAGCTTTGTTCCTGCTCTAACTCTGCCTGCTCTCCCATGCCAAGGCCAGGCCCTTCCAAGCACATAGTGACCATCTCTAGGAGGCAGTAGAGTATACTCGGAACCATCACTGATGGACAGAGTGGGAGGGCAGAGGGAATCTCACCGTAGCCCTGTGGACTGAGAGGGCTGGCACCCCCTCCCCCACCTTCTCTGGGAACTAACCTCTGGTCCACACCTGGGACCTCTGAAGGCCAACACCGGGGAGATGATGTCTCATGACCAGTTCTTCATTGGTCATCCTCAGGCAGCCTCAGCCCTTTTCCCTTTACCTCAATAGCTCCCCCAGAGAGGATCAGATGGGTTGGGGTCACATTCAAACATCAAACCAGAACAGCATCTTCCCAAGGGCAGAAGGTATGCAAACTAGAGTCCCTCCCTCCAGAGCATGAATAAATCTGTCTCTCTCTGTGCTCCCAACAGATTTGAAAGTGACCTTCAGGCCATGACTTGCCGCTCCCTCAACTGGTACTGGAAGGCCATGTGGGCGTTTGTGAGTCCAATACTCATCATCAGCCTCTATGTCTTCTACCTGAGTGACTATATCCTCTCAGGGACACTGCAGTACCAAGCCTGGGATGGCACTCAGGTACCCGATGTTCCTGCAGGGCTGGGGAATAAGGCAGAGACCACACAGTCACTCAGAACACAGGGGACTATTGCTGTGCTGTGAGAAGGCTCCATGTGAGTATTTCACAGATGCTCAATTTAGCACAGCAGAAGTGGGCTGTGAGTTTTTAACCATGATGCATGGAGAGAGCAAGAGATGCCCCAAAGCATCACAGTGGGCCTTTCCCTAGAAGTACCAGTATCCTTTGGTGTGCCACACCTGTACTCACGGCGCCCCCCCCCCAGGCTTGGGTGAACAGTTCTCTTGGACTTGATAGGAGGGACCTTCCCCTGATGCTCAATCTCTTCTCCCAGGGGCAGCTGGTGACCAAGGATTACCCCCCACATGCACCAGCTGTCATCGGTTTGCTGGTGGCTTCATCTACCATGTGCATCACCCTGCTGGCCCTGGGGATTTTCATCTGGAATTGCCTCAAGAGGGGAGGTTCATCCCCAGTGGTCTAAGAATGGACCTCCCAGGGACAGAAGTCAGCCACTATCTGTTTCACAGTTGCTGCCTGCTGGTGGGGACACCTTGGCTGGAGTGCTGGTCTGGGACCTCCTGAATCTGTAAAGAGGATTAGGGAGCTTAGAAAAAGAAGACTACCTTGGGGAGGGGACCACATCCCTTAGAAGACTCCCTCCATTATTTGCCATCTGAAGACTACAACTTGTAGCCTTCTTGTCGTCAGCGGTTAAGGCCAGTACTGAAGATCATTGTCACCTAGACTCTAGGAAGTCCTAGAATTCAAGGTAAGCTGTCATTAGAAACTTGACCATAACCCTGAGGAGCCAAACAAGCACTTCGGTTTATGTTTGTTTGTTTTTTGTTGTTATTTTTGGTTTTGTTTTTTTTTTCTCAAAAGAAAACAAGATACTAATTGCTTTTCATCCAGTGTCAGAGGTTTTTGAAGCACCTAGGGCAACACATTACAATTCTTCTCATTGAAGCCACAGTGAGTGTGTAATTTTTGTATTACTACACTGTACTACACTGTAAATACTACCGGGATTTAGTGTCCACGAAGGGAGAGTTATGTTGGGAATGCAAAGGTTCCTCACAGTGGGCTGTGGCAACGCTAAACTGTACAAGGAATCTGAACAGACATTCCCATCCCTGGGGTTTCAGGGTCAGATGATCCACAAGGGTACAAGGAACTGTAACTTTTCTACAAACATCACTCACAGCCACCTTCATTCACCTCTGTATAGTAATGCTTTCTAAAATGTACATAAGTCACACAGAGCAGTGTATAACTGAAAACACTCCATATTAATGGCTGTTATTCATCCATTATGTCAATTTGTCTGTTTTCTTTTCTTTTTTATCATAATAAAGTGGATCAAGGTTATCCAGACTGAGAGTTCCCTCCTGTACTAACAAGCCGAGCTCATGGAATTGAAGGACTTCTTTGGATCCATCTGTGCAGACACCTCTGAAGACACTTAGACATCACTTGGAACATCGACCAGAGAGATCTTTTATTTCTCTCTTTTTCCCAATGACAAAAGTAGGCACTGGAAAGGTCTTTGATGTGGCAGGTGGTGGTAGTAAAGAGAAAATTCTCTGGCTAAACACTTGCTACATTTGCAGAGAAACAAAATAAGGTTCCCAGAATCCACGTTGGAAAGCCTACAGTGTCTGAAAATCCAAGTTCCAGATGATAAAACATCCTTGTTGTATCCTTTTCTATCCTTGTTTTCACCAGCATGAACATGTACACAAAACACATACACATAAGTTAAAATAATATACATATCAAAAAGGTAGATAGTGATGATGTCTTTCCAACAGTTGAGTCTTTAACAGAGGACAATAACTCACAGGACAAATTGTTCACTATCATAGCTGCCTTCTTATTTTCATTTTAAAATGATCACTGTCCTTAAATATATGAGAAGCAGCATTTATTTACCTAAGTGTTTACTCCTGGTTTTCTCATCAGATGGATTTTAGGCTCGAACAGTGGGTACACCCTGTGATAATACATCAGAGTCTATTCCTGAACACTTAAGTGTCTGTCCCCTACTCTCAACCTAGGCATAGTGACTGCCTTTCTGCACTTGTCATGCCTTCCTAGGGTCAGTCACTGACAGGGTCTCAAAAATCATGTACCCTCAAAGGTGAAAAGAGGAACATTGTCATGTTATCATTATTCTATTCTTTTTCATTGCGCCCATCACCTCTGCCATTCTAGACACATCAGAGCATTGAAAATTTGCAGTGTCCATGCTACTGGATTCAAGGAGCCTTTGTCAGAAAATCTTGGGGGTGAGTCTGGTGCTCTTGGGTGAATACCATGTGCAATCAAATCTGAGAGCCTGGGCAGAGCCTATTGAAGGAGAGGGGAAAGTATGCAGTGTGTTTAGACATACTTACATCCAGAACAACTTGTACAAATATAAATGCACTGTTGAACATCTCTAGGTATGAGTGGGAGTCACCTCAACAGAACAGTTGTGCTTATGGAAATCAGACAGGTGAAGTAATGCTATCATGAAATACAGATGTGCCTCAGTTTACCGATCTAAAGGTAGTGGAACCTGGGAGAATGGAGCCTAAAAAGGGGGAATAAAGTCTCACACAACAGCCAACTTTATTAAGAACATCAGGCAATATCCACTTTGAGCGTTAAGAAAGATCATGTGAGTAAAGCTCTCATGAGTTCAAACTGAATATAATCACAATAACAGGCTGCACATGGAAAAAAAAACCCCATGAATTTCTATAGAGGTGTATAAATAAGTACTAATAGCCAGTTGGAATGAATAATCTGAAGAAAACTCACTCCTATATGATACACCTGGGAGGGGTGTAGAAGAATAATCCTCCAAGAACAATTCGGTGTTTTGGAGAAACTGAGGTCACGAGACTTTTATTTTCTTGGAAGTTTTCTCACAGGTACTCAGAATTGTTTTTCTTTCTTTAGAATGTTTCTTCTCTTTTCCATTTTTTCCTTTTTTAATTTTATGTGCGTTGTTGTTTTGTCATGGGTGTCAATTCCCCTGGAGCTGGAATTACAGACGGTTGTGAGCTGCCTTGTGGGTGCTGGGAATTGAACCCATGTCCTCTGGAAGAGCAGCCAGTACTCTTAACCACCGAGCCTTATCTCCAGCCCCAGCACTCAGAATTCTCACAGGACTACATTCTTGGATTGTGTTAGGATACTCTTCCATCCACATTGTGGTTACATCCCGCTAAACCCACTTTAGATCGAAGAGCCCCCTAAATTAAAAATGCATTTGTTACACCTACCTTCCTATCCATCACACTCAGAGCTGTCAAATGATCATCCCAGAGGCCATGTGATCACTGGGGTTCCCAACATCTCCACAGAATACCCTCTTCAGATTGCTTGCCCACAAAATGTTGGGTCTCAAATTATAGCTTCTACAGATTTCATTTCCCTTTCACACATTGTAGAGTCAGAAGACACTAAGCTGAACTGGTCAGCCAAGGAGCTCTCCACATACAGTCAAATGCCAGTTTCTCCATGGGGACGTACCTTTGCTTTGTTTTGTTACTGTAAAAAGAGAAAGAAAGATCACTGTAGAATGATAAAAGATCAATTATAATGTTTAAAAGCTTACTCATATAACAGCTGTAGAATTTACATTCTTATCAGCACACTGAAATTCCCTCAAATCAAATCTCAAATAATGTAGTGGTAATTAGATGTCAACATGAATCAGGAGGGTGGGATGCACCTGTAACCTACCAACTTGAGAGGCTGAAGCAGGGAGACTAAAGACCCGACCTAAACAATCAACCTAGCTAAACCCCATCTCAAAAGGGGAGGCTGCAGCAATGGCTCAACAGCTAAAAGCTCTGGCTGTTCTTGTAGAGACCATGGGTCCAGTCTCCAGCACCCAGATGGTGGTTCACAGCCATCCACAACCCCAGTCCCAACTATGTATTATGTATATACATTTATATATAAAAATATTTGTATGTATGTATGTACATATGCATATGTATATGTAGAATATGAAATAAAATAAAATCTTTCTTTTTTAAAGGACAAGAATTGCAACACAACCCAAAACAAACAAACAAACAAAAACTCTCAAGGTCTTGCCAACAGTGCTAAGGAGTTTGGACTCTCTCATACAGGGAAACTAGAAACTCTTATGATTCATTAACAGTGGACTCACCAGGATGAGCAAATGATTCAAAATTGTATAACCTTAGTTTGCAGGGTAAGACTATAGAACCCTGCGTAGAGCTATTCCTGCTTTCTCTCCTTCCTCAGGAGTTCTGGCGAATCGGCTTTATCATGTTCTGTATTGTGTTTCTGATAGGCACAGTGAAGTTCCTACCCACCGGCAGTCATCCATTAGCCAGAATTGCATCCTGAGAACTCTCAGGTGGGGCTAAGCCTGACTGAGTCACCTGCACTGGGAATCTGGACACCCCAGAGAACTGAGATTCATCCCCTTTGTTGAGATAATTTTTAAATACAGTTATGACCAAGGTCTGAGTGAAGTGTAAATTTTAAATCAGACACAATGCTCAAAACTCATGATTTATGATTCCTTGTCAGTTGTTCTCCTGAGGCTACCTATGTGACTGTAAGTGCAAGGTGGGAGGGAACCCAAAATAATAGTGTCCCTTTGCACTTATTGGTAGCTCAGGATGTGCCATCATGGAAGCGTTTATGCTATAGAAATTGAAAAGCACATAGATCAGAGACTTTCTGCAGTTTCCAGTTCACCATCAGCCTCCAGCAGACGCAATCGTATCTTCATGAGCTATTTTTCAGTAATCCTTAATAGTATGAGGAGCCCAGAAATCCTGGAGTTTGAGAGTCATGACACAGAAAAAAGAATGTGGCCAAAGGTCAGTGGGAGGCTGTGAACTGGCCACCACTGAGGTTAAAGCCGAGGGAGGCACCGACCCACCAGGGAAGACTCACACCAGGGCCTGACAGTGCAGAAAGCTGAACAACAGGAAACCCAAGGGACTGGAATCCAGAAGAGAGCACAGGAGTGGGCCCATTCTACCCTGAGTGTTGTCTCAGAAGATGGAATCACCCTTGGCGCATGTGGTCTCCCTGCCAGAAGATGAGGAGCTGCAGCCCAAGGGCAGCCCTGAATGCCCTGACCAGCACACAGGAAGACTTGGCCCAACCAAGTATGCCCAGCCTAAGGTTGTGGAGAAGGGGCAACCAAAGTGGGACAACCCCAGCAGTTCTTGCTTACCTGCATATCCTATGCCATGGGCCTGAGCAATGTGTGGCCCATCCACCACCTGTTCCAGATGTAGTGCAGAGGTGAGTGCAGTTTGCATGGACAGCAGTGTCTGAGTAGCTGAGTGCTTCACATCTCAAACCTTCACCTTCCTGGAATCTGTATGAATTATAGGACTAGTGGATGTCACCCCCAAAGAGCTGGCCCACAACCCAGCGAAGAAGGAAGATTGGGTTTTGCTTTTGCTTTCACGGACAGTGCTTTTGTGCTGTCTTAAAAAAAAA